TGATGATGATGATGATGATGACGATGATGATGATGAAGATACTATTGCTATCGGTATTGATCCGCTCTTTGCCAGTATATTACTCCGAAAGTCGCGTGTCTTTTCATATGGTTTTTTTGTTCATAGCTGAAGCTTTAATCCGGAGTTCTCTGTATTTTACCTTCAATGGACAACGTGAGATGTAAACGTGACGGACGGTCATACAAGCAAAACAATATTTCTTCTGGAGGCTTTTTAGGACAGATGTTTGCAGATACATCGTTGTATAAATATCACATAGGTTTCAAGCTCACCTACCGTGTGGATGACCCGTTTTCTTCAAGCGGTTTGTGCATGACGTAAAGCTCCCGTCAAACCATGTTTTTTTCTGAGGTATCAAGTCAAAAATAATAGTTAATACTGATTGAATTACTTTGTTTTCTCAGCTGCACAGACCTAATCAAAACAATGGTTGTAAACTCACCGTGTTCGACAGCAAAACCCTGCCGGAAAACTGAAAAAATCACCGTCTCAATGACAGAGCGGTGTTCACTTCCGTCCCTTTGCATGAGCCGTTATTCTGACGGGTTCCAAAGGAGTCTCTCAATCTCAGATCAACGTTTTTTTACATTTTCGAATGAGCTGAAGTATCTCCAACAGATTCGTGTTGTTCATCCGCCTGAATGTTTCTTAGTGAAACGGAAGGTGGGTTTTATTGCCAGCCGTCCCCAGTCACAGGCACACCACTGCCCGAAATAAGTGACTGCTTGAACTAGGGTGACAAAAGTTGAAAACCAACATAGTAGTATAATGTACACTCTGTTTCATTTATTTCTTATAAAGCATCCGCGCTCCGAGATAAGATATATTTTTTAGGTCGGTTTCAACCATTTTGCACACCATCTCAGCTGATGCGCGAAAACTGGTCACATTTTTCGAGAGAAATCCATTGCCGAAACTGACGGTGCCAAATCGTAGAGCGCCCTCGGGATTTACGCATGGGTGGCTAGGCGTCCATATCTATCTGTGTTTGGTTAAAGATCGATGACGTCAAACTGTCGAATCGCATCTGCTTCAGTTGTTCATAGAAATCACGCCACGGCAAGTCCAGTTTCAAGTGTCATCGCAAGGACGGCCCATGCACGGCTTTAGTAAGAATCGAAGCAGCTACGATTCAGCCACTTGATAATCCAGTGGTGTGCCTTTAATTCAGTGCGATTAGTTACTACCAATAATGGACTGTCAAAGCTTTTTCACCAACCTTGTGAGTAGTATAACCTTCCAAATGAAACATCAGTTGGTCCTTGCACAGTATATTTGGTTGAAGGACCCTTTAAACGACAGGTTCAGTTGGAATTCCGTTTGCAAGTGGAAGTATCTCGAGAGATATCGCTATTGCCTATTATCACACGCGGCTGATTGAAACTGGAAGGAAACGACAAGATAGTTCCATGCTGAGGGAGTTACCTGCCTAACAAGCTGAGGCTGATCGCTTACTTCATGACTCGACATCCTCTGACTGTACCTACTGTTTATATCCGGGTGGAAGCAAAGCACTTATAAGTTATGAATCGTTGTTCAGGCATTAACATCGAAACTGCTGAACTTGGAAAGAATAGTCTGGTATGTTTTCAGAGCTCCAACCTGTGGCCCGTATTAAAATCCGGGCAGTTCCGGCAGATTACCTCCAGGAGCTGAACCAAGCGTTCTTCCCTCGAATAGAGGTATACACAACGAGATTTAAAGGATGTCATAAGCATGGAAGATAGGCGATGGGATCCGATGGGACCTAAGCGATTTAGGTGCATGCACAAAATTTGAGCTTCATTGACAAATGACCATTTTAGCTGCATACCTAAAAAAGCAACAGAATCGTTTTGCTTGGCTCCTTGTGACAGTCACTGATTCAGTCAAAGCATAAACTAAGGAGCAACAATGCTAATCAGCTGTTACACAGACAGATCATCCACGGATCACCCACAACAACAACGAGAAAAGCAAAAAGTAATAATTGAAAATATTGATTTACAGGATGGATGTGAGTATGACTCAGGTGCGTGTTGTGAGAGCAGAATAAGGAAATATTGATAGCTAATTGTAAGAATAACAATAGAGGGGATTTCCGCAGCGAAGCAGTTGGGTATCTGTACACTCATTTGCAAACTAATTTAGTTTTTCGGGAGACTCACCTGGAACCCAGCTGAATAACTCGTTTGTAATGTTCTTAGGCAACTGAATGTGCTGCACCAGGCCGCCTCATGTTTCAGTCACTACGATATTCGAGATATCGCGACACATGTATATCTTTGTAATGTACTACTCACAAGGTTGCTGAATGAGTGCATATTCGCTAACGTCGTGCAATTCGGTTTCACTTAGAACATAAGGTTGACGGAAACCCGGAGACTGCGCCTACCTGATGAGCCCCAAAAAGGGCGAAACCGGTCATGGGCTGTTGAGGAGTTTTCAGCAACCTTAATGAGTACTAATTACAAAGTCGTGTGTCTGTTTCACGAACATCAGCCCAAGCACTTGCGAATTAGGATGTGCAGCGTGTGATTGCTGGGGGTGTGAGCAGGTTTGGGCGTTTTAATGGATATTCGTTCTGTAAGTGAAGCCAGTCTACCGGGAACACTGTACAGCTGTCGTTGGCTTGTTCTCTGACATGGGCAATTTGATTGCAAACGTTTCATCACCAATAGAGGTGACATCATCAGTGCGTTATTTGGGAGCGTAGTGGTGCTTACCGGCGGGTCAGTGGTTGTGCGTTGAGTAGTTTTGTGTTTGTGTGCGTTGGAATACGTGCTGCTAGCCGAGAATTGTTCGGTCGGGTGGTTCCATTGGTTGCTCCGTTGTCCTGTGTCCTCATTCGCCGATGCCCACGTGACTTTTGAGCTTGGCATCCCCTTCCATGGTAATCTGGTCGATGCTGGAGTGATCTTTGTCCGTCCGAGTGCCGGCTTGTGACCTTTGTTGATACACACGTAACACTACTCAACGCACAACCACTAACCAGGGTATCGAACCCGCGACCTCCGGGTTAGTAATTTGAACACTTAACCATGCGGCTATGAGGAGCTTGTGAGCAGTGCGCTCAACTCGCGCTAAGACAGGGTGTATCTTTCTTCAATCATGGGAACCACATCACATAGCAACACGTGTCGACTGACCCCCCATCAGGTTTTTATATTAATCGGTCTGACATCCTGGATAAAGCACAATGCCTGCGTAGGGTGGCCGCGATTCAAGACGACCAAATACAGTGTCGTAAGGACAGACGAGAAAATAAAATGCCTAGATGTAAACCAAGAAATACTGATATCACTGAAACTATCTTGAATGTTCGCAAGGGCCTTGTGGTCTTCCACTGCATCGAAGCTCGTTATAAGTAAGTCCGCAAGCTAGAAAACTGGTGGAGATATTATTCCACGCTGTACACTGAATTTTCTTCTTGAATTTTTTATATACTATGGCAACAAGAAAGCCAGTTTAACAGGTCAACTATAGCGACAGTAGAAGTTGACATCTTCAAGTAACGCCTGGGAAATCGGAGACTTCAATCAAATATCCAGCAAACCAAAATTTACAGATGGTATTCGGTCCTAATCTTCATCTGTCTCCCGTATTCTCGAACCATTTGGTTGAGATCACCGCCGACCCAACGCTACGCTCTCGAATAACGCACTGATGATATCACCTCGATTGGTGATGGATGGCCCAGCCCAGCAAACAAACAGGCGATGACCATTTGCTCTGTTTACTTCATTTGGCACCAGAAGCGAAGGTGGATGCTTTGTTCCAATTGATCCGATGTGTAATTGTGGCAAGAGCAGGTTGGAACCACAATTCACAAATCTCCATAGATTTGTCCCCGTCAACTAAGAGCATAATCTTATCCATTGCCTGTATACTAAGGCGAGACAGAGAGCCTGCAGAGAATTGAGGACAACCCCCGAACACTAACCGACTAATCATCCAGTAGCAGGATTTAGTTCAAAAAAACGAAAAAAATGGATGCAACTAAATTGGCAAGAAGTAGTGCATAGAGGAGCTCTTTTCATTTGTCTTCCCTCCAAAGGAGATATAAAGGTTGATCTCATTACAAGACATTTACGCCAAGCATTCTTTGAACATTTTCCAACGTCAAACAATAAATCCTCGCTTACCACTGGTCGACCAATACTTTTCAATGTTTATGGCACATTGCTTCCCCTCCAGGATGGAGTGGGCTGTCCGTTTTCCTGTAGCAGTAACGCAGAAGAAGCCCGCAAACGACCAGGCAGTCGTGTGAAGCAATTTAAAGAAAGATATCTTCCAGGATAAATGCGATCGAGCTTCTTTGCGACGCTGGTCACGTATTTATCGAGGTTTATGTAGTACTGGTCAGTATACGGAGGACAACGCAACTCCACCGTTTGGTTATCGTCAAAGTAATAATGACTTACCCATCATCAGCATCAGCATCATCAGCAGCAGCATCATCAGCATCAGCATCAGCAGCAGCAGCATCATCATCAGCATCATCATCAGCATCATCATCATCATCATCGTCGTCATCATCATCATCATCATCATCGCCATCATCGTCATCGTCCTCATCATCATCAGCATCATCATCATCATCATCGTCGTCATCATCATCATCATCATCATCGCCATCATCGTCATCGTCCTCATCATCATCAGCATCATCATCATCATCATCGTCGTCATCATCATCATCATCATCATCGCCATCATCGTCATCGTCCTCATCATCATCAGCATCATCATCATCATCATCGTCGTCATCATCATCATCATCATCATCGCCATCATCGTCATCGTCCTCATCATCATCAGCATCATCATCATCATCATCGTCATCATCATCATCATCATCATACATCATCTTGATCCTCACTGACAGCAACATCAGACGAGAGTCTACAACCATGTCAGTTTTTGTCAGTAGATTTCAAATGTGTACTACACGTGTGTAAATCGGCTAGGATATTGCCAAAGTTTCCAGACTAGGACAGAGGGATGACCCAATTGCGTTCAACCAAAGCCGCTGGCTCAAAAGCATAACCAGAAAGCAGTGATGGTTGGTGTGAGACTCTCAGAGTAGCCTACATTTTTAAGGGGAAAGCAGCCACACTTGCTTCAACCGCTAACCTGGACTGCACAGTGACCAGCCTTTGAGTATCACACGTGAACTCCAAAAGTATAGCTCAATGGGATACCATTAGTGCAAAACCATCACACCAAGGCAGACGGGATGTTATGTTTCTCTCAACTTATCCTATTGTAAAACTGACGGTTTTGGTAGGTGCCATTTTATTCACTTGGTGTTAACGTGACCTGATAAAGAGACTACGGAAACACTAATATTTCATGAAACTTGAAGACGAGTAACAAGTGGTTGACGGAAAATTAGTTGATGAATACTGGACTTCGGCATTCGTAAGTCTTGGGCCCTCACTTGGCGCATGGTATCCGACCAGTAACCAGTTGTTCCCCCTTAGATTTCACCTTTCACCAGAGCGATTATAGGTTCTACTGTCAGTGGCCAACTTCGTCAACCGAACTTAATCTATTCTATCAGACCGCCCCATTTGTCAAAAATTTCGCCCTTCGATATTGTAGAATAGATCACTCTTGACCAGTCCCTTCGGTGGATTTATGGGCTAGAAAGATTGCCTGTAAAAATTCGAAAATATGTACACTTGTAGGAAATTGTTCTCTTTGGATAGGACCATTCATAGGAGCAAGACAAAAGTGGCTTCCCTAGAGGTGTACTCTGTGGGCCTTCAGGTGTTGATAAGAATTTCAGTAGTCTCTCCTGACTATCGGTCTTTTTCAAAGCTACTTCGCTTAAGTAGTCTTATAGTGCCAATTGGTAATTTTTCATCAGTGATGAAGACTAAAGATGAAGACCCCGGTGGATCTGTTCTTCACTTTCATGTCACTCATGGATGATCTATTGATATCAGTACTGTCAACTGTCTCGAGTTTTTTTCATGTGTGCTGGAGGGAGGCATTATCTACCGACAAACGGTTCTCACACCTTTCATGATAGATCTGTCTCTTCTGATCTCGTCAGTTTTTTTTGCATCTGATCTGCGAATATTGCACAAACCCACTCACGCCTCTCGTTTTATTCAATCAAACAAACTCTGATTAGAAGATTTTCAAAGTAACCTTTCTCACAGATCTGCCAAAACCAAGTTGAGCTCATTTCTGAATCGAGTGCGACATTCCCGCCTGTCGCGGATTGATCGCGTGTTGGAAATAGAACTGGCAGGTAATGTACGCGAAAATTTCCATATGAGTGTTACCTGTAATCAGTTATCGTTGCACAGAATCTGCACCAGAGAAATAGCTTTTTCCGGACACGGCCACATCGTCGTGCTCGGCACTTTTGCAGAGCAGTTATCTAGCTCTCAAACTAGCTATTCGCACCTCTTCAGGACGACTGATTGCATCCATGCTTATTTTCTCGTCTTCGAAGATAGTCAGGCTTTCAGAACTGGAAGTACTTTGGAAAACTTATTCCCGGTTTCAAACAAACTTTCGGCTAAAATCTGGCGGAGCACAACTTGACAGAATATTATCGATCTGACGGAAGAACTATGTCAAAATCATGACCGTGGTAGGTTGCGGGATCATTGTGAGTTATATTCACATCCGAAGAGAAGACTAACCGGAACGACTGTATCAAGAGAGGAGAAGGACTGTTTAATTGAGAAGAATGTGGATGCGACCACCTACGACTACTCAAAAGTTTTCTAGTGGCGTTCATGAAGTCGTCTTATTTACTTGCGATTAGAGTTATCATGCAAACCCATCATATCACTCAAACGTTAGCACCATTGTGTTCGAGGGTGATGAACCAGATGCGTTCAACACGAAGCATCCTCATTTTGCAGGCTAGCTGTTCGGGGTTCGAATCCCAGCATGACAAGGGATACACACTGCTGAACAGGTATAGTATGAACGAAACTCGAATCCTGTGCTTCCCGCCTTTGGTGTGGACACACCAAAATATGCGTATCAGGACTAGAAGAGCACTCCTCAAACGAAAGTGATGGGAATCTAAAAACATACAGTTACGACTGTCTCATAACTGAAACCGAATGTAAAATAAGATCGTGGAGAGTGGTATCTACAAATGAGAAATCTGAACTTGTTCGTTGACTGTTTGTCGCTCACTTATCGTCAATCCTTAGCTGCTTCATAACCATCAAAGTGGATTCCGCGACAGATTACTCTTTCCTGTCAATCCTTAGCTACTTCATAACCATCAAAGTGGATTCCGCGACTCACAATCAATCAAGAAGAAGAACCCTTATGATGTTGATAAAAAACTCTCTCATTCTGACTTTTCGTTTGGCTTTTCTTTGGGAACGTGAATGTCCATTTTAGATGTAACGACGTGTCTTCGGAAAGAGTTCAGGAAATAAAGTAGAATACTGGCAACAGGGTGAATAGATCTACAAATTTTTTGGTTGACATCTGTGCCAGAATTCGAGGATAGTAGATCTCCTTCATTTATACGACGTAATGTTGACTGAAAATTATCAAAACTTATTACACTACCATCATCCTATAAGTGACTCAGAGGAAGACTGATTTCGCCGCATGAGTGCGACTTTCTTCTGTGAAATCGTCACTTGGGGAGCCACTCAGTATGTTACCACATAATGTGGTTTATTTGACTGAATGACGTATGAGTGAGAATTAATCACACTGCTGATCAGCCATTGGTTAAGTGTTCAACCACTGGCTGGTTGGAAACTCCCTACTAGAGATACGCACTGCAAGTTCGTTGAGATCTGTCGGGAATCGGACTCTCAGGGTTTTATTGTACTCACGAAGAAACCCAATCACAAGACTTGGTATACCTGAATGGTGGTCCGATCTGTTAGGGCGCGTGTTTTAAATCGAAATCTGCTGATCTCACCTCCGGTTTGCATGAGTGCCACCACGATACGGTGTATTCGACCGGACGAACAAAGCTGTCCTTCCAGCTTTAATCACATTTAAGAAGAATGTATTTAGCCCTAATATCCTGAGATTGGTCTATCCCTTCTGTGCTATGACCTTCATGCGTCAAGGTTATTTCATGATGGCGGACTCCGTTCATCCAAACTTATTACATAAAGCCATCCTGAACTTGGAAACTTCGTGAAAGCTGAATGTCCGTTTCATTCATGCTTCCTCTTCAACCGTCTCTGAAGGTTCTTCAGTTTCACAGTGCTTAGGACTCCCGAAACGGGAAGGAATTCAACGCTTCCTCGATATTTTCAGCACCAGCCCACTTCTGGTGGCTGATCGGATGGCAATTGATCTGTTCACGGAGCTTGGCAACTGGCTTGCAGACGTCTCGTCCCCAGTCGACGAGACATCGTCAGTGCGCAGTTGAATTCAACTGCGCACATCCGAGCTACCTATATTTCGACAAATTGACACCATATAACTTCGCCTGCAACAAAAAATCCCAATGAAACATTTCAAATCTACGCAACAACTTCAAATTTTCTCGTCTTCAGTTGGGAGAATTCAAAACGGAAATACCTCCTTAGACTAAAAGATGACAACAGAAGGTGACATACCATGAAGCATACCAGTGTTACTTGAGAGTGGAAAGAGTTTCCATCTCCCAAGCATTTAAATAGCCTATTAGCCCAAAACGTTCTTGACACTCCTAATTCGCATTCATGAATAGCCAAATTAATCAGTCTTGTTGATACTTTGGACAACAGTTATTCGGTTACTGAGATCCATATGACCGGGTGATGCCTATTCACTGCACTTTCGGGGTGATACTCACGTGAAAATTCACACCATTAACCATCTGATAAAAAAAACTGTCAGTCGATTACTGCTTATTTTTCATTGAACTAGCTCTGTAGGATGTCAGAATTCAGTACTTCGGTGCTATGGTCTTATCACTCTCCAGCCAATAAACGGCTAGACGTGCCTCAACGAATGCTGCAAATGTATTCTATAATAATGGTCAAAAAGGCTTTGAGTGTACCAACCAATTCGATGCAAAGTCAACCGAAATTTCCGTCTTTTGGGCTCAAATTTGAAATGTCCACTTTTTGTCTGCAGTTTGTATTTTTATTTCCGAACAATCCGGATACCAACTAAACCAAATTCGTGGCATTTTCCAACCTGGCGATTTGTACTAAAAGCGCACATATTATCTGTCTAACAACTGCGTCGTGAAACCACACACTCGGCTACTGTACAACGGCAGCGACCCGTGAACTGGACCTTGCGTGGTACGGCGCAGCATGGGGTCGGCGTGTGCCATTTATACTGCCAGACTACGTGGTGACTATACACAACAGTAAGTCGATTGTGCTCAGCAGGAACTGACGATCAGAATGAAGGGCTTAAGGTTGTGTTGCAGTTAGAGGAACATCGATAACCGCGTGAGTGCTGTTTGTAGAGGTTCATTGTGTTCAACTATACAGATAGAATAGCGGACCTCAAACCTCAGTGAATTCGTCCAAAGAGCAAAACGCGGACAGACCGGTAGATAAAATCATTCGCTTTTCGCTGAAATGAACACGAAGTATTTATGAACAACTCGTGGTATCCAATCAGACGACATAAATGGTGGTCCACAGTCGGTTTTCTCCGAAATCCTATAAGTTTCTTTGAACGTGTTCTTCCTCACTGTCGTTGCTGTATCCCACGTATGAAGACTCTGATCTGGAGCGGTGGAGAAGCGGTCCACATGTAAATGGCGTTGAACTAACGGTGCCAGGTTTTCAGTTTAGGTGTTAGGTGGATATTTAACGTTAACCGAAACTTCTGTACTGCTCTACTCATAACGTTGCTGAAAATTCGTCGATAGCCCACGACCGATTTCGCCCTTCCTGGGACTCATCAAGTAGGCGCATTCC